ATGCACAAATAACAGTCAAGTAATTGAGATGTAAACATTGATCTATGTTTGTAGAGTCCTTTCTCTGTCCCCAAATTGAAAGAGAACGTTCACTAGATTCCAAGGCTTTATTTAAAAAAAACACACATAATTTCTTTGTCATGATATAAAACCTCTGTAATAACTACTTGTTATGTTTCCAGCCTACAAAAAATTATGCTTTGCCACTACAGAACCAACCAGATAAGAGAACATAAATTGGCCCAAACCATCTTCAGAGGGTAGAACTAAACAAGGAACCAGAACAAGATGCTGAGCTGCTGTAGCATATCTTTGGTGCAAAGCACAAAATACAGCTCCAGGGCTGCCCCGATGTCCCAGGCCATCACTTCTGAAGAATTGGATTTCCAGTGGAACTCAGCACCTCCTACCACAGCACAGTTTGCAAACTTCCATATTAGACACTGGGAGGAAGTTATCGTAAGCTCACTCAGGACCAGAAGTGAAAGAAAGGCAGTGAACCCTGGATCACTGTACCAGTAAGAAGTGCACTGCCTTTCTTTCACCCGCCACCTCCTGAGGCTCTCCTGCGGGCTCGCACTGGCAGTGACACTGCTCACCACATTAAGCAGCAGGCAGCCAGGTAGGTTAAAGGGGTTGGCAGGGGACGTGGTATAAGAGGCATATGCAGTCCCAGTTCCTTGTCAATGGCGCTGCAACGTTTTTTTAAGAGCGTGGTGTGTGTGTGTGTGTGTGTGTGTGTGTGTGCGCACGCGCTGAAATCCTGCCTCCTTACTTCAGTCCAGTCTCTCCTCCCTCAGCTGAGGCCAGGAACAAAGCCCCAGGCATGAGGTGCGCATCAGAGCTCCAGGTGCACAGAATGCTGGGATACCAGGTTGTTAAGAACTGCCTCTGAAGCTGGGGCATGTGCTTTAAGTTTAAGCAGACATCAAATATGAAATCCTGGGGTTCAAACTTTAGAGGGGATACTGACCTCCTTAACCTCCCATAATTGGCATCCTAGAGGAAGAACAGGCCTCTTTTGAAGTAAATAATCTGTCCAAGTCAACTGACTGATGGAATTGGTGATGAGTGACTTGAGTTGCTACCACAAGGACAAGAATGCATTGGTCATACAATACTGTACAGCTTCTCTCACCCACTAGGTTAGGCAGAGATGAGTAATCAAACCCAATGTGCTACCACTAGGGTTGCCCAAAAGAAAGAAAATTCAGCCAACAGCATGGGACATCAGAAATTGAAGAAGTAAAGAATTCCACGGTTAAGGCTTTGGGTTTCTGCACCAAACAAAGGAGAAGTCTCTCTCACTGGGATCCCTTTAGGGTTGTGCACTGGAGATGCTACAGTTAAAAATGGTATTTTCCCTTGCATTTGGGTGAACTGACTATTAGTGCACCCTTCATCATCTCTGAAATGGCCAAAGTGTTCTTTAGCTCTGATACACAGAGCAGGCAAACAGTTCAGCCTCAAGAAGCAAAAGAAAGGAAAAGTCACGGTAAAGCATGTATGTACAGAAAACAAATAAAACATGCATCCGCTTAGGATTTAAGCTCCCAGTTTCACTCAGAGCTCTCTCCTGTGCAATGTGTTGCCTGGCCCATTTGAAAAACCCATTTCTCAGAATGCCTCTGCAAAGATATATTGTTTATCTGCAGAGAAAATACCTGATTTATCAGTTAAAAATGAAAATGCTCTTTGGGATTTGGAAATTCTTTCCTTGTTCTGCTTTCCAGTATGTATCAGGCAGCTGAGGCAGTGATCAAGCCTTCTATCAGCTGCTGAATGCACAGTACACAAAAGAAGACTTTTATTGCCCAGTGGTTCAACAGGTCAGCAGCACTCTTTAACTTTAATTTCTGGTGCTCTGTACGTGTGCACCTGTTCACAAAAGCTGCTAACCCTCTAGATTGAAGGTGGATCCGCAATTTTCTTGAAAGGCTTCTATGCCCTACCTCTATTAGACTTGGCATCTTTCCATTCTGAGACTGACTTTCTTTGAAAAGTAAAAAAGGAGAAAAGACACTCCCCCTCCCCAACCCAAGATGTTTTTCACATTTTATTTCCATCACTGACAGCTGTCATGTGATTCTGTGATAAAGAATCACAGAAAGTCACTTTCTTTTCACACTGAACAAGAAAATATTTGAGGAAAAAGGTATCAGCCCTAAAGCTAATCTACTTCTGTCATTGTAGCATTCCAGTCTACAGCTCCTCACTCAACCTTCTGCCTGGGCTCCTGCTACAATTTTAAACAAACCCTCTTCATATCTTGTCCCTCTTTTTCTGTATAAACAACTTTTAAAAACAAAATTGCAGATCACTTTGTTGGTTGTTTCACAAATCATCCAGATTTGATGGTCCTCTGGCTTTGAGGAGAAAGTTGTCCAGTTTATTTTCTCGGATTATAAAAAATTGTGTTTAACTTTCACACAGCCGGTGGTGTGAATATCATTGTCATTAGAGTCAACAGCAATTCAACTGATTCAGAGACTGTAAGGCTAGAAGAGATCATTACGATTACCTACCATAATGTCATGAATACCACAGGCCATAGAATTCTACGCAGTGATTTCGGTATCAGGCCCACCACAGACCCAAACTATATATGCCAGCTGAATATTTCACTCATTACTTCTACACTGAGTGCCTTGGTTTGTCATCTCCATGTAGACTTTTGGGGCACAGCTATGCCAGTGACAACAGCTGTTGTTCAATATTTTTACCCATTCAGTTTGATCAGGACTAGTTCTCCTTGTTTAAGCTTGGGGCTGTATTTCAACAGCTAACCGAGAAATCTTGAGATCTCTCACATTTGGTATCTCTCAGGTTCACATCTTTAAGAAGAACCAATTATGATAAAGATACACCATATAGATGGGCAGCATTCTGTCAACCCATAAGAAGCTGAACTGTGATTATGCAAGTAATTTGTTGTGCCAATGTTGTGGAAGTTGCCCTATAACACAAAAGATCTAATATGAGATCTTTCTGGTCTAGAATTCTCTTAACAATCTCTTAACAAAAGTTCCTTCTGCCAGTTCATTTCCTTGTTGGAAGAATTAATGTGTGTGAAATTATACCGTAGCCCAGCGACTTGGATTTTAGAGGGAGCAAAGTGTGGGCCTGGTAAATGACTATTTCTTCCAAAACACTAAAAGATTAAGGCTACGTCTACACTGGCACCCTTTTCCAGAAATGCTTAAAACGGAACAGTTTTTCCGTTATAAGTATTTCCAGAAAAGCGCGTCTACATTGGCAGGATGCTTTTCCGGAAAAGCACTTTTTCCGGAAAAGCATCCGTGCCAATGTAGACGTGCTTTTCCGCAAAAAAGCCCCTATCGTCATTTTCGCGATTGGGGCTTTTTTGCGGAAAAGACTACTGTGCTGTCTACACTGGCCCTTTTCCGGAACAGTTTTTCCGGAAAAGGACTTTTGCCCGAACGGGAGCAGCATAGTTTTTCCGGAAAAACAATGACGATTTTACATTAGATCATCATTGCTTTTCCGGAAAAGCAAGGGGCCAGTGTAGACAGCTTGCAGCTTATTCTGGAAAAGCGGCTGCTTTTCCAGAATAAGTGGCCCAGTGTAGACACAGCCTAATTGTAACTATTTTATGACCTGGTGGCTAGTATGTCTAGTGAAAAGTAAAATTTCTGCAAATCTAGAGGAATGGGAATATGGCTCCCATATTCTTTGAGTTGAATGTTTTTGGTTCAAGACTTGCATGATTCTACTTTCAATTTTAGCTCCACCTCTTAGAAGGTGGCTACTCACATACTGGGGTTTGTTCCTGGTGCTTTCTGAGGCCTTCCTGGATCTCTTCCTTCACATGATCCTGCGAGGATTGTGGGCTTCTGGTACTATCAAGATAGTTCATCAGACAAGGATTCAGAGAATTCTCACTATAGATAGAAGGCATGGGCTGGATTTGGGACCCATGCTACGTAACATCTGATATCATTTGCTGTTATGCATCATCAGTAGTGGCTATTTTAATAAGTTCTGATTTCTGTAGTGAGGTTGGCAGACAACTCAATATGGCACCCACATGTGCTTCTGCATCTCTGAGAGCCTTTGAAGAATCTAGATGACCAATAGGACTCCTAGATAATGTATCAGTCACAACTAGGGAAGTCTTTGGTGCATATTCTAAAATATGTCTAAATCTCAAACACATGAATGGCATCCAGTCTAGGATTTTTCTAAGTTAAACACAGTTATCCACAATGTTGGGTGCTGGTTAATAGAATATTCTGGTTAACTGAGACTTGTACTTTGCCAATGAAATACTAATTTTCAAAGTATTAGAATACAATAAAATGAATAAAGTATAAAATAGTCTACAGGTGCTCACCCATCCAGTAGTAGTACTACATTGCAAAATCACTGAATTCTTGAAGCATTTAGGCGTTTTCACAGTACATTATCTCATGATTCTATATATCACTATGTGTAGAGCAGGATGTACCCTCAGGTTGTGAAAATAACACGTAGATTAAATTATGTTCAGTATAGTTTTAGGGTTTTTCGAAAATAACACTTAGATTGAATTATGTTCAGTATAGTTTTAGGGGTGTTTTTTTTTTTGGTTACTCAGAAGGCACTTCAGGATCTTGCATTGACCTAACGGTTGTCATTATTAACATCAATTATCATGTAGGTATAAAAGATGGATGAGACTGGGCTGAATCTTAAATTAACTTGTCATATTCCTCTATGCTCTCTTTTTATGGATGTACCATATCACGGAATCTGAAAGTCATGTTACCAGACTCCAGTCATCTTGGTAACTGGAGTAGTACAATGTTGATTTCTCTAACATCAATATGCAGTCACAAAAAAATCCTGAATTAATATACAGTATTATAGTCACATATGCATGTACCGCTTCTTCCATCAGGAACTTGACATCAAGAGCGTGGCTTTAAAAAGGAAAGCACAGGTACTGTGATTTCAAAGCCAGAGCATAAAAGAACATTCAGTTCACACAATGTATCAATTGATTAAAGAAATCATCTTTATAATCCCAAGGCCAGATGGCAGCAACAAAACTGCTCACTTGAAAGTGAACATACAAGAGATGTAGCACAATGATACATTTATTTTGGCACTTGATAGTTCACATGCTTATTAAATGAACATTACTTTTTGTCAGCAGAGCTTTAGGAATCCATCCCACTGCTTCTACTAATTGGCCAATGTTACAACACCAACCATCTACTTTACTTCATAGTAAAGTTTCATTGTGTTCATACTGGAGTGAGCTGGAAACCATAGGTTTTCAAACAGGTTTGAACATTCCTTCACTCCTTCACATCTTAATATCAATAAACTGCCAATCAATAATATTACACTAGGAATATAACAAGTTATCTACATTTGAGTTACTCCACCCCAGGTATCCACTCTGGAGCTGCACTCATTAGTGTGACACTGTGGAGACGCACACAATCCATGGTTCTTAGTGATGTAGTAAAATAAGCCATTCTATGAATTCTTTTCCAGTAAATTGAGAGAATTTATCTGTTTTTTTAGGTCACAGGAAAAGGAATTGTGGGAAGGCATTGGAGGACTGTTGGCACTCAAGTGGAGCTAGCCTATGTCTATGTTACAGAGTGGCCATGTTAGCAGCTGATGAGTTGTACTGGCTTGACTATTGGTCTATGCCTTCCCTCTCAGGTCTGCCAACTTGACTTAAATGTCCATCACACTTCTGTAAAGAGTTTTTTGTGTGGATGGGACTTGGATGAAGGGCAACATTTAAATTATAATTTGAGTTAACTTTGCAGTGAAGACAAGTCCAAAGAGGCTGAACAGAAATTATTTATCATGGACAAAATCAACTAATCTGTCAAAAAAGTGGGAGGGTTGATCATTATGCTGTGTGAATCAAATGCTGAATGAAGAACCAGAGAAGGAAAGGAGATGTATGTAGAAAGGATATTTTTTCCTAAGAGGACCTCTGTATAGTAATGCTTGTTTTGATGCTCATAGAGGTGCCCAATTAACATGTTTCATAAAACAGCTGGCTGAGATTTTAGCAGTAAGCCACCAAGATCAAATTAGTGAAAAGGAAAAGTCCATCCAGTATATTTTCAATCCTGAACCAGAAAGGCTCTGTAAAAAAGTGCCTTCCTGTTATTCATGGGACATAGCCTCCCTCCAGCACTCCTCTACTCCATACTGTGTTTCATGCTGAATAGCAGGGCTCTGACTGATACACGACTGGAGTAGGCCAGGGATGGCCAACCCATTTAACAAAGAGAGTTGAAACAGCAGTGGAAAAAATGCAAAGAGCCGCACCAGAATTGTTAAGCAAACAAACAAACAAACAAAAAATAGAAGCTACTCCTTTAAAAAATAAGTTTAGGGCTTTTTTTGCCAAATCAGGCTCCCAGTGATGGCCACCATCTTGAGTGCCATTTTGAATCGCTGCCCCAGTGAACACAGGGGAGCCAGGGCCCTGGGGGAGCTGGGGCGAGGGGAGGGGGAAAGCAGAGGCTGTTGGGGAGGGCGCAGGAGCAGCTTTGCAAGCCACACTTTTGGGGGAGAAGAGCCGCATATGGCTCCCAAGTTACGGGCTGGCCATCCTTGGAGTAGGCTATTACACTCGTCTTTGCTGAAGCAAAATATTATTCTTCTAGCAGATCTGTTTCTTACCAGAGAAAGCTCTACTCTCACACTATTTCTAGTTTTGCCTAGTGCATAGAAAATACACTCAGGAAACTGTCTCTCTTATCTGATCTATTTCTGCATTGCACGTTCCCTCCTGTTGCCCTGAAAGTTAAATCTTTTTTTCCCCACAGATTTATTCATTTTTCAAATAGCAAATTTCTAGCACTTTGCTGCATTTCTGTGTGTGGTGCATTTTAGACAGCAGAAAATAATTCACAATAAGCAGATCCTCTTTCTATCAATGAAATACCAATTCTGAAAACAAAAAAAACCACCACAATCCGCCGTCCCACTCTTCACATCTACAAAACCTCACACATGCAGGAATGATGCAGCTTGCAAAAGCTGGTGGAGCCATTCTGAATCAGCATGCCCTACAATCTGATCCCCTAGCTGTCCCTTTAAAGCCAGGTTCAAATGAAGTCACACCAAATGTATGGCACCCGAGCCAGTGCTTCAGGCTTACGAAGCAGCATGTGCTCCCTTTGGAGACACCAATAGGTCAAATTTTATCAGCGGCCTGGCAATCACCTGGACCTCCTCATTCAGTGGATTTGATTTCAGGTTTACACTCCGCAGCGACTCCATGGAAGAAAGTTTCTCAACGGGGACATCTGTAACAAGAAGAACATACATAAAATAAGACACCTGGATTACTAGAGAGAGAAACTCACATATGCTGGTCAGGCCCTTTGGAATTAAAGATCATTGTCACTCATATGCTTAGGGGCAATCAATCTGTGAAAAAAAATGAATCCAATCTGAGTGATGGCAGAAGCTGCTCTCTGTGATAGCCAAAGCCCAAGAGTGCAGGGTTTGGAAGCTCTGGTAATGCCTCAATTTCCATGTCTATTATTTATTCATAAGTAGAAATGGTTACTTACCTTCTCATAACTGTTGTTCTTCGAGACGTGTTGCTCATGTCCATTCCATGAAGGTGTGTATGCACTGTGTGCACGGGTTGTCAGAAGGTTTTTCTCTCAGTGGTACCTGTAGGGCCGGCAGGGAAGGCTCCTGGAATGGTGCCTGCATATGGACGTATATATACCCTGCTTCCCTCCACCCCTTCAGTTCCTTCTTGCTGGAAATCTCTGACAAAGGGGAGGCGAGTGGGATTTGGAGCAACACATCTCGAAGAACAACATTTACGAGAAGGTGAGTAACTATTTCGTTTTCAAATGATTGCTTATGTCCATTCCATGTAGGTGCTTCCAAGCCATACCTTTGGAGGTGCAGTTGGAGCCTAACTAGAGATCGATTGTAATACTGCTCTGCCAAAAGCTGTATCATCTCTGGCCTCTGCACTATAGCATAGTGATTAGCAAAGATGTGAACCGAGGACCAGGTGGCAGCCCTTCAAATGTCCAGGATGGGCATCTGAGCAACAAAGGCCACAGATGAGGCCTGAGCTCTAGTAGAGTGGGCCGTAAGCGGGAGAGTTGGTAACTGGGCCAGTTCATAGCAAGCTTTAATACAGGAAGTGATCCAGGGGGGGATAAACTGGGAGGCCCTTCATTCTATCAGCTGAGATAAAAAGCTGCGGAGATTTACAAAAGGGCTTTGTTCTATCTAAATAAAAAGCTAAAGCACGTCGTACATCTAAAGTGCATAGAGCCTGTTCTTTACCTGAAGCCTGCGGTTTGGGGTAGAACACAGGCAAAAATATATCTTGGTTAATGTGGAATTGGGACACCCCCTTAGGCAGGAAAGTGGGGTGCAGGAGAAGTCTGACCTTATCTTTAAAAAACAGCATGAGGGGACCTGAGGTTAGAGTATGAAGCTCAGATACTTATCTGGTGGACATGATGGCTACAAAAAAAAGAGACCTTCCATGAGAGGTGTAGCAGCAAGCATGTCGCCAATGGCTCAAAGGGGGGGGGGACCTGTGAGCTTTGCAAGGGCCAGGTTAAGGTCCAAGGGTGGAAAAGGTTGGAGAACATGTAGATACAGCCCATCCAGACACTTCAGGAAATGGTGAACCAGGGGGTTTGTGATAACGACTTGCCCTGGGAACCCAAGTGAAAGGCGGAGATGGCTGCAAGGTACACCTTGACTGATGAAGATAACTCCTGACTCCTAAGGTCTAAGGGAACGTCTACACTAGCCCCCTAGATCAATCTAGGGAGGCTAATGAGGGCAACTGGAATTGCTTTCCAAACCTGGAATTTAAATATCCCGCGCTTGATTTGCATGTTCCCGGCCGGTCGCCATTTTAGAAATTGACTAGCCCAAAGTAACTGCCTGCGTCTACACGCGGCAGTGAAACAGGATTCCAATTTAAAGCCCCTAATTCAAATTAGCTGGTAAACCTCATTGCAGGAGAAATACCAGCTAATTCAAGTTAGGGCTTTAAATCCCAAGGGAGAGGCTGGTGAGGAAGATAGTTCAATGAGCTCCCTAGCCACCTCATAAGTATCCAGGGAGGGCCAGTCTCCTTCAGCCAAATCATATTCCAGGCTTGGGTCCTGAGCAGGGCTCAACTGGTGCTGGGAAGGCGCAGGATATGAAGGCCTGGGCACTGTGCCCTAAGCAACTGAGTGTCCCATCTGGGGATGCACTCTGGGCACGTGCTGCAATGGAGACCTGCCTCTGCTGGATCTTCATTTCTTCTGCAGCACTGGAGATTGGGAGTGGTGCCTAGCACAGTGTTACGGCACCAGGAAGACCCTGGACAGGCCCAGAACCTCCCATACCGATGCCGGCATGCTCTGAGTAGTCAATGCCGAGTCCCTCTCAGTATGAGGTTTGAAACTGTGGCAGGTGTTACAGTTGACCGATAGGTGCACTTCTCCCAGGCCCTTGTCCCAGGCCCTTGAGGCACATGTTGTGCAGGTCACCACAGGGCATGGGCTTAAGGCACTTAGAACAAGGCTTAAAGCCCTGGGGCCTGGGCACGCCCCAAGGCAAGGGACAGGGGACTGTTAGAGCAAACCCCTATTTACATTGCTAATGACAAAGTATTTAAAACTAAGACTAAAACTACAACTACAACAAATTGAACTAAGACCGCTAAGGCGCAATTGCAGAGAAAGCAAGGAGCATTCCAACAACTGTCACGGGCGGTAAGAAGGAGCTGAGGGGTAGGGGGCCAGCAGGGGTATATATGCGTGTATATGCAGGCGCCACTCAAGGGGGCTCCCCTGCTGGCCCAATGGGTACTTCTGAGGGAAAAAATTCCAACAATCCGTGCTTATGGAGCATGCACTCCAACATGGAATGGACACGAGCAATTACTCAAAGAAGAAGAGGGTCTAACTGCAGAAACTGCCAAAACCCTGGAAGCTGAAAGTACGAGTGGCCTCACTTTAGATGGGTGCAAGTGTTGTAGAATGAGTTAATTTTGCATATTGTAAGGTTTAATTAAACAATACAAAAATTATGTTTCTGTTACTTCTTTTGTAAAGATACAGTTGTCACAATGTAAATAGATATGCAGTTGCCTTATTTGAACCAACCTTACAGAAAATACTTGTGTGTATTTCATGAATGTTCATAGAATTAATTATTTTTATATTTGCATTACCATAATGACCAACAGTCCCAGATTGCAAGGAATAATCCCTGCTCTGCCTTGTGAAATGGTTTTAGACAACTTTTCAAACATTCTTGTCCCAAAAGCTTCTTGAGATATTCCCCTACCTATATGGAGAAAACTAACTTAAACATTACATCACACTGAGTAGATTTTTTTATCTTGTTTTCCAGAGAGCTCCCGCTGTGTACAGTCCCCAACAACAGGTCTTTTGAAAAAATGTGGCAATAACTTCCTTGTCTTTAAGAAAACTATGAAGGGTTCCAGTTCAAGATTCTGAAGAGAGATGTCTGAAGGAGTATGAATACACCTCTTTAATCTTCAAAGCTCATGGCAAAACCAATAAAATGAAACAAAATATTTCCTCACTGTACCAAGCCTTAGACAACTTGCATCCCAGTTACCAGCCATGTGAAGACTGGGAGAAATGTAAAATAATGGTTATGTCCAGGGCTTGACAAATGGCGGTGAAAGCCGCTCGCCAGCCCCGCACTGCACATGCACAAGAGCCGCATTGCGCATGCGCGCACCGCCAGTAAACAGGGCACACGACTGAAATCTACTCACCGTGGGCGAGTAGATTCTATAGTTTGTCAAGCCCTGGTTATGTCACTCAAATTCACATGCGTTATTTAATATTAATAGGCGCTTGTATATTTTGTTTTACCAAGACTTTGCTACCTTCTTCAGTAACATGACAATTTAACTCTTGTTCACCTTTGAGCCTTAGAGACTCCAGATGGAAATTCAGGCCTGAAGTGAGAATAAAGCAGTGGTAGAAATCACTACATTGTGTCCTTACATTTATGCAAGAAGCCCTGAACTGCAACAGCAGATATGAATACCTAAGCATTCTTCTTCCTAAAATACATAGCTTCCTTTCTTATGTCGCTTTGGATTATTTATGTCTATTTTCTTCATGCCTTATAAAATCATTAATGATAAATCAGTGCTTTCTCTTATGCCACATCCCAGAACTACGACTGACAGCATCTGTATAATTGTATTGGAACTGGAAGGTGGAAAGATAGGCACCAAATACATCCCAGCAGTTATACTGGAGACCCCACAGAAAGCAGACAAAGGCAGCTGTGAGATTGTGAGAGAACAAACCGTGGAGGCTGATTACTGTGCTGTGTTTCCATGGGGAGGTGCCTTGAATCTGGTGTCTGCTGTATTAATGATGGAGATATGTTTGAGGTATGTCACTGCCCCCATTTAAAATGTTACAAATTGTAACGTACAGGTACCAAAGTGTATAGCTGTGCATGTGTGCACTGGGAGTTCTGGTGAGGGGAGGAAGAATTACACATATGGACATTCAAGCAGCTGTAGCATAGGTTTTAAAGTTTTGTTCGATAATAACTGGAGCCTACACTCTTACTTCAGTTCCCCAGACCATGAGCTTGTCACCAGGGAAGCCACTTGAACTAAAAGTCATGAGATCATTCCTATTTGTTTGGGACAGGCTTGTGTCTTGCAAGATTAATCCCATAGGCTATGTCTAGACTGCAAGCCTCTTTCGAAAGAGAGAGTCTAGACTGCACGCGGAACTTTCGAAAGAGCAAGCCGCTTTTTCGAAAGAAAGCACCAAGTGAGTCTGGATGCTCTCTTTTGAAGAAGCCCTATTTACATTCAAGAACGCCTTCTTTCGAAAGAAGCACTTTCGAAAGAAGGCGTTCTTCCTCGTGAAATGAGGTTTACCGCCGTCGAAAGAAAAGCCGCGTTTTTCGATTTAATTTCGAAAGAACGCGGCTACAGTCTAGACGAAGGTGAAGTTTTTTCGGAAAAAGGCTACTTTTCCCGAAAAAACCCCTGAGTCTGGACACAGCCATAGTTATTCTGGGCAATCATATCACACTGAGACTGGCTTACCTATCGTGATGCATCAAGATGACAATGTGGCGGCATGTTGAGGATCCTCCTCCCCTCCCCCAATCCTACACCCTGTCTCTAGCAAGATGAGACTCCGCCAGCCAGTAGAATAGAGAGGGTTTATTGCTTCTCCAGGATACACCACAGCATAGATGTGATGTGGACATAGGGTATGTCTACACTACAAAGTTAATTCGAACTAATGGA